TACCCATGAACCTCCAAGTACCCCAGGAACGCACACTCAGCTCAGGAAAGTTTACATCTATTCGATGCCTTGCCCTGCAGGTATCGCTTGAGGAAGTACTGCAGCCCGAAGAACACCACCTCGTCATACTTCCCACCGCGGGACTCGAAGTACCTTGCGAAGCCATCTTCGTAGTCATTCCAGATCCCAGAAATACAGGGCCCTTAACGATTAGAATAGGCTTGTCTTTGTGGGAGTGGGGGTGCTTTTCTAGCATGTTGATACCGAGGAACATCCCACTAATTACCCAGCAGCCCTTTGCTGGCCGAACTCAACAGCCCCTGACATAATTACAATCCTTCCCTTCCCCCAAGCAACAGCGGCTCAATAAAGGTTCAACGGACATTTGCCCTCCTATGATCCATGGCGCCCAGAGCTGGACCCCAGCTTCAAAACGGTGAGCTGGAGCTTCTCAGAATCGGTCACTAGATTAGCTATGTACTTGTTTTCTGTGTATGTTCGTATTTGTTTTCCGTTGTCCTCGTGGTTGCCCCTTTCCCTACGAGAAGTATGCTGTTTTGACAGGAGGCCCCTGTGTACAGGGCGATAGCACTGTTTTCGGATCTATCGGTTCATGGTTCAACCCGCAAGATTTTCGTTTGGGTTGGGGCAACTCCAGGCATTGATGGCGATCCGGCAACTGAGGGATCCAATCAGATTTCGGTACCTCATATATCTTAATCCCCCCCCCCCACAGTTCCTTTAACGTTCCCATATATCCCAAACCCGCCCCTTCATTGGGCGATTCCGGTTCATCATATCTCTTAAGAATGCCTTTGCCTAATGGGGCGGGTCCGATTCATCATAAATCTTCCGCACGAACCCTCATGAGGTCACCATATATCTTAAACCCGCACCCTCATTTGGCGATTCTGGTTCATCATATCTCTTAAACACCCTGCCTCATTTGGCGATTCTGGTTCAACATATATCCTAAACACCCCCCCCCCATTATGCGATTCTGGTTCCTCATATATCTTAAACACGCCCCCTCATTTGGCGATTCTGGGTCATCAGTTATCTTAAACACACCCTCTCATTGGGCGATTCCGGTTAATCCTCATTTGACAATTCCGGTTCATCACATATCTTAAAACATGCCCCTTCATTTGGCGATTGCGATTTATCTTATGTCGCGCGCACGCCCCTCATCCTTTATCTTACAGGCCCTCTTGCTGGCTTGCTTGCCGGCTTGCCGGCTTGCCGGCTTGCCGGCTTGCCTGCTTGCTTTCTTGCCTGCTTGCTTTCTTGCTTTCTTGCGTGCTTGCGTGCTTGCGTGCTTGCGTGCTTGCTTGATTGCAAGCAGCAGAAGCAAAATACAAAAACAAATTAAGAATAACTACCACCACCCTCAGAATTAAGCTGGAGTTGCGCCCGTAGTTTCATGCGGGTTCGCCAGGTCCGCCACCGCCACCGCCGCGACAAACACCACCGCCACCCCCACCACAACCACCACCGCCACCACCACCATAACCGCCAGGAACAACAGCAGCAGCAGAGCGGTAGCTCTAGCAAAACAGAAGCTATCAGGAATATCGCGAACAAAACGAACAATCATCGATAGATCAGATCAGCCAATACAGCCGTCACGCAAAGCAGCAGAAACAGCAGCAGCTGCAGCAGGAGCAATAATGAGCATCACAGCATTTTCTTTCGTCCTGTGCCCCAGAGGCAAAATTGACATCTACTTGGTTACTTGGACCCGAAAGCCTTGCAGGACAAGTTGAAGACGAAGGCAATGCGGCCACGGGGCGAGTAGACCTCTGTGGTGCCTGGAGGGTACTGGCGCCAGTGGGAGGTCTTGTAGGAGTCACTGAGAAGCCTTGCATGTTTAACCACAAGTAGTGACTTCAGCATTCAAGGTGATGGTGGATCGCAGCTCCAGGTGCTTGAATCTGCTGAAATAGCAAACTGGGTCCTCTTTTGTCCGAGCAGCATGATGTTGTCTTGAAAGTTGCTGCGGTACGGAGCGGCCTCAGTTTGAATCGGGTCTTCGTGGCTGCTGGGCATGCTACAATCAGCCAGTCAATCCAAGCATCGCCAGTATCCGTTTCATAAAGGGTATCGATCTCTGGTTTGGCGCAGAAGGCACCCATGGCTCCAACAGCCGGCCTGAGATTTAGCTCCTACATTAAATCATTTTACATCATGTCTTGCCGCCTGACACGGACGAACGGACGGACAAGCAGAGAGAGAGAGAGAGAGAACGAGCGAAAGAGGTAGACAGAGAGACCTGGGGAGGCACAGAGAAACAGAGAGACAGGGATGGTGGCAAAGCGAAAGAGATTTGGTGCACAAGAAACTGAACTCTACAACTGTGCAGGCAGCGGTCCTCACGCAGCGGGCGCAAAGAAGAACTTCTACCGACACTGCTACAGGCTTTCTTGAGCATAGACCCAATGCGGGCAGATAACGGCGGTCCTTCCATGCCTGTGTTTATGGAGCTTATAGATTGAAAACAGTGCGGCCTTGACAGTCTAGCGTCGTTCTGGCATCAACAGTTCGTTCTGGCCGGGTCCCTCGCCACTTCCAAGTCCATTGGCACGCCTGCCATGGTAACACCTTGCTCGTCAGCACGTTGATCCGCGCTAAAGAGATGCTCCCTACACTCTACAGCCACCCTCGCCGCGCCTTCTCTGAGCGCTTGCGCTGCGCACAGAAGATCTGTTTTTCGCTCTGAGCCAAAGCGAGAGAAGAGGCAGCTGATACCGACAATGTTGAACCAAGGCAATACAATATACAAGCATACATACAAAAATACATACATACATACACACACATACATACATACATACATACATACATACATACATACATACATACATACCCACCTACCTACCTACCTACCTACCTCCCTCCCTCCCTCCCTCCCTACCTACCTACCTACCTACCTACCTACCTACCTACCTACCTACCTACCTACCTACCTACACCCAACCCACCCACCC